TGGAATGTATCAAAACTATATTAATGTGAAGGATAAACAATAACTTGCTTTTAACTTTAGCCCTAACTTAATGACCTGATTGTGGAAGTTAAACCCATGTATCTCATCCTGACTCTTTTAAATGCACTTTACTGATACCGGTTTTGATAGCCTCTCTGACCACTTGACCATGGAAACAAATGCCATTGATACAAATATTTTAATTACTTTTTAAGAGCATTTTCAACTAATAAATCAGTATTTTTGTTCAGAGACAGCTGTATTACTACAATTAAGCTACTTTAAAATATTTTTGCACAAGAACATGTAATACATGAAGATTCTGATTTGGAAAAAACCCAGCCTGTAACTGTCCAAATTAATACTTTCTACTTCTTTTGGTAAAACTAAAGTTTATCATCAGAAATTAAAAAACGTAAAACTACATTCAAGTTCTCCTTTCAAACACATATTTAAAAATAGCTTCCATAAAGTCAAGGCCTTACCTCCAATAGTGTACTAGGACAGATTTTTTCATTTTAAATAGCTTTCAAAGCTACAAGACAGGACAGATGAATAAACTTACAAAATAGATAAACAATGTCCAAAAATTAAAATAAAAATCCAGTTGTTCCTCAAATTACTAGATACTGTCTGATGACTATAAAGATTACTCCTATGAAATCCATCCCACTGCCTTTTAAAAACCATTCCCAGAAAAGATGACTCAGGAGGATGCCTCACAAACAACAAGAAAGTACCAAATTTCAAGTGGTCTAACTTTCCTGAAGAGTTCCAAAGAATCCTCATCCAAAGGAAGAGTTCAGAATATTTCAGGCAAAACAGTAAAATATAAGATACAGTTTCTATCCTCTCCTTCATATGTACTACAGAAGATGCTGCTCTGTATCCAGAGCCTTGAGATTTTTTTCAAGCACTGCAGAAGTATTTTCTATACCTTTGCAATTTGACTCTCCAAATGAGAGTAAAATCCATTACTGACCTTGAGTACCATGTTTTTTCTATTTTGCTGGACTGACATTGTGATGAGCAAACTTTACTGCTGTAATTCAAGGAACGGTGCCATAAAAACACTGGCAGTCAATTAATGAAAAGCTAAGATGGCTATACAGTATTCTAACTGGAAAGGAATAACACATTTACAAAAACACTTCTTGTTTTCATGAAGCCACCATAATCCATATCTACACTTTTATTTATAACCTGCAAGCATCTGACAGTTTGTATGGTTAATTGCCAAAAAAGTGACAAAGCTGTTGAAATTCTGATGCTCTCTGTGTAACAGTATGACCTGGAAAACACCTTTGGAAATACCTCTCGACAGGAAGGTGATGTTACCAGCAAGAGATACAGAGAGCAGTGGAAACCTGGCTTACCTACAGTTACTGAAAGAAAAGCTTGTACCATCTTCACATCATGTATACATTGCCATTTCTTTTTAACTCCATCTTTCTGTTGTTTCTCTTTTTAAAAGCCCTTCAGATAAGAGAGAGGAAGGACTGCCAAGCAAGCAAGCAACTAGCATGACAAAAGTGGGAAAACCTGCTGAAATCTTTGCTCCAGCCCCAGATTAAAAAAAAAAAAAAAAAAAAAAAAAGTCGAAGGAATTAATTCAGTATGTCCCAATACTCTTGCCTGCACATGTGAACAGAAGTAAATCCTGATTACAGACTACTGTGAGGAAAAACATACTAAAAGATCACGAGGCACTTAGTATAAATCACAAGGTTAGCAAAATTTAGATAATCTAACATACTGGACAACAATTTATTAACTTGTCATGGTAGCATGCAAGGAAAAGCTTTTCAGAATTCAAAGCTAAATGGCAATTTAAAAATTCAGTCCACGAAGACTTACATAACACTGTTTTAAATAACACTTGCAATTCACCAGAAATGAGTGTTCTAGAAATACTTTCAGTTAGACTTATGGAAGATTCAATTGGTTTAGAAGCTCCTTACAGTAAGAAAGCTGTTCTAAGGCCAGCCTGGAAAATATGAGTAGAGTTACAGAGGCTATTTCCTGCTCCTTCACAAGCTAGATAGTTGATGGTATTGCAATACAGAAGTAGTTTACCATCCAGCTTTGACACAATTTTCCAACAGGCAACTCATTATCTTTGCTTACAAATACCATACTTAAAGTGCATGTATTTTAATTACAGTAAAATCACATCTGTAGTGGTTGATGGACAAAGAGACATCTGTCTCCGGACATCTTCAACATTTTACAGCTGTCTAAATGCAAAAAAAGACTGAAAATATTCCCACTGAATGGTGAGGGTAACGGATTAATAGCTCTAGCAGCTACAGATCTACCTGATGTTTCAAGCTACCAATTAAGAGCCAGGAAGAGAGCAAAAGGTTCTGGAAAGATGCTGTGTGGCTTTCTTCATAGTGAAACATATCAGGGCAAAAATATTAGGGCAAGTAGCTCATTCTTTTTAATACTGTTTATGACACTATTTCATTCTAGTATTGAGCTTGTGACTCAAATATCTGAAAAATGCTTGAGCTAAAAGTGTCTTTCTGAGGACAGTACTATATTAAGACAACTTCAAACATGCTAGGCATCTTACTGCCAAAGGTAATTTTAGACATCAGTATGCAGAGGGACAAAACGAGTCCTATTCAACATCACCATAAAACAGAATAAACAAGCAAACAAAAAAGCCAAACTTGAAAATTGCAATTTCTCGCTGTGCGTTTGAAACTATTCTCTTGTGCATATTCTGAAGATACTGCTGAAAACAGTTGCAGTTTGCTTTGAGGTCTACATGATATACACTAAGAAAAATTACAGAACTGCCAAACAATTTATGTACAGCATAGATTTTTCACTATGGCCAAATCATCTTTGTCCAATAGCACACAATTAAAAAATACTCTTCTTTTTGGAATACTTACTAGAAGATGTTTCTAGAGAAGTTCCCCATGAGTGGAAGTGTTCAAGGCAAGGATGGATGGGGCTCTGAGCAACCTGGGCTAATGGAAGGTGCCTCTGCCCATGGCAGTAGAGCTAGAACCAGATGATCTTTAAAGTCTCTTCCAATCCAAACCATTCTTTCACTTCATGACTTCAGCAACCAGGGAAAGCATAACTGCTGCTACCTACTCAAGAAACAGCTTGCTCTTCCTCCTGGGACCCTGCTGCTCAGGCTGTAGCCAGAGGACACTCAGAATACATGAAACCAGAAGACTATGGCAGCATTTCTCACACACAGAAAAAGTACAGTGTTCATGAGAATTGGTATTTTATCAGTACCATGATTAGTATTTTAACTTCAGGCTTAAAACAAGACAGGAAACAACAGAATGATCAGTAGGAGTCACTGTACCACATTAAGAAGGAACTAAAACTCCCTCTACAACAACTCAAGCTGGCTAGAAAGCTTACACTGTACTTTGCCTTTCGCTGGAAGTTACTAAAAGACAGCATCAACAAGAATTAAATAATCACTCTCTACTTTCTACTTGTCAATTAGAAATGCTTTGGCAGATCCATTCAGACAAAAGCTGCTTATCTTCTACCCCATCCAGAGGCACTCCCTGTGCATCTGTAAAGTCACTTTGATCTACCTCATTTCTCCAGAGGGACTTACAGACCCGCTCCAAAACTGGCGTACCATTCACAGTCTGGAAAAGGCTTCACTAGATATTATCCATAGGTGAACAATGGATTACTCAGTCAGCCATTATTTTTGTTCTGGCTATCAAGAACCAGAACTGAACAAGACTTTTCTGGTTCCTCTTGCTAACATAAAAAGCTAGAAATCAGAAGCAGAAACAGAATCCTTTAACACAGAAATCCATCTTTATAGTCATAGATTTCAAGATAGAAAGCCTCAAGAATAATATAGGTCTCAGATGGCCACAAAATGATCCTTATATTAAGTCAATACCTGCTTATTGAGACAGACCAGATCCTTAGATTATACAGTAATGTATGTATCTTTTATGTATTCTTTTAACTATCTTTTAACAGGTGCAATGATATTTACACATCTTTTAGGCAGTTTTACAAAGGGATATCCTTCCAGAAATCTAGAATATTTTGATGCTACTGTGAATGCTTTTAGTGATGGGAAAAAATCCCCAAGCACTTCTATATATGCAGGCTGTATTAATCTTTTTTATGCTCTTTATGTTCCTACCAAGAAGCCTTCTAGGAGTTTAATTCACTCAGTGTCTGACACTCAAATGCAGTTACCAATTTGTAAAATTACAGAATCCATAAAAATCTGAAAACAATTTCAACTGAAGACTGGATTTGAAGAGCAATGCCTAATGAATTACACATGGAATTGTCTTTCAAATGCCTTTCAGAACAAAGAGGAGATTTTCTTTAGCACCTGAAAAACTAATCTCATTGATTTGTAGTAATGAATTAAGTTATGTCAATTCATTTTACGCAGAGCAAATTAACAGAATTCATATTTTAATTGGTGAATCAGATATCTACACTAATCTCCTGCTCTTTCTCTACATTTAGGTGCTTTCTGAATTTTTTCAGTATCATTGACATTATTAATTATGAGAACAAAGACATTAAAAAACATTTCCGGATGAACTAGAGCAGGAACTCACAATGATCCCTCACTGACTACCCAGAAAGTGCTTTCAACCCATGGCAGTCAGAGTAGCCCAGTCTCAGAAGAGCAATGACTGTCTAGCTTTTAATAAATAAACACACATACACTGAAGTCAGCTTCCTGCAAAGTGCAGCCCCAAGCTTACACCTCACCTGTGTCCACATAGCAACTCTGAAAAAGGGAAAACAAATACAGGACCTGTCTTTCTGCCATGGTACAAACTCTGCATTCACTGGCAACAGAGGGAACTGAATGGAATTCCCTCACAAATATGCTCACAAGAAAATTCCTTGTGATGTAATACTAGGACATCAAAAGTCATTTCACCAATTACATTGTACAGTTGAATATTTCTGATAAGCTTCTAAGTAAATTACTTTCAAAGTTAATAAATAATTTTTCTTCCTTTCTTGAGGCTGAAACTGTGATCTGGTCCTTCTGTCACAGGATAAATCCGAACAGCCTGGCCATATCAACCCATTTTAAAGATATGTCAACTTTTTACAGACTTCAAAACAAATTTTAAATCAATGCTTTTCAGCCTGACACCTTTTGCTTTTCTGTGAACTTTGTCTGAGCCACAGTCTGACCTAGCAAATACAGCAAACCTAACTGACAGAATTAAGCATAAATGTGTTGCTTATAAGATCAACCAGACAGCTTCCCATCCTCTATTTTTACCTCTTCTAATTTGAACTCTTTCTTTGCTTTACATTTGTTAGCTGGGTCCCTGTCTTGGGTTTGCATCACAAGGTTTTGGTAGCAGGGGGGAGCTTCTGCTGGCTCCAGAAGTCATCATTGTAGCTCCCCCCTGCTTGACAAAGCCAATGCCAGCCAGCTACAAGAAAGATCCACCACTGGAAAAAATGGACAAGCCCATCAGCAATGGTGGCAGCGCCTCTGGGATAAAATAGTTAAAGGAAGAACAAAAAACTGCACAGCTACAGCTGAAGAGGAATGAGAAAATGTGAGAGAAACAGCCCTGCAGACATTGAGCACAGAAGGATGGGGAGGAAGTGCCCTGATGACGGAGCAGAGATTTTCCTCCATTCCATGGTGCCAACCATGGTAAGTCCACCTGCCACCCATGGAGCTCCATGGGGGAGCAGAGTCCCACCCGTAGCCTATGGACAACACCAGGTCACAGCAGATGGATGCCTGAAGGAGGCTGTCTCACCAGCCCCAAACTAAAACCCTGAGAGTGAGCCAAAGACTTGGCAGGTAAGTCCCTAAGATGAGCTGAAAACATATGACTGGCACTCTACCGCTTTACACTGTAACAGTCCAGTCCACTTCCATACATTGGGTTCTTTTAACATATTCCTTCTTCAAGTGTGTGTATGAAGCTCCCTTCTTTGAAGTGGGAATGTCCCTTCATAGATACTCCTTGTGGCTGTGTGAAAGAGATCTGCCTGCAGCTGGTGGTATGGCGAGTTACATCAATCTCTATTTAATGACTGTTTCTTTTTGCTAGCTTTAATATAATTGCTTTGACATAGAGCACTATACTATACTAAATGGCAATAGTAATTTTAGCTTTAAAATTGTATAGTAAATAGTTCTGCTTAAAATATTTTATCTAATCATTTGTCATAACAAATAATTCATTTTACATATATATATCTGATTTGCCATCTTTAATCCTGCAGGACAAAGTGACTTAAAAGTGCTGACCGTCTGGGGCTAAGATCAGATCCAGCCTCACCGAGGCTTTTCTCTGCAAAGGAGTTCAGAAAGGAAGGGGGTCCTCTCTGCACCTCGTGACTCAGTGGGATGGCTCTTCTAGTAAACTTTGTCTGAAGCTCCCCATCTCACCCATGACAACAGGACCTGTGGCCCCATGGAGAGAGGAGCCCACACTGCAGCAGGTTTGCTGGCAGGACTTGTGATTCCCACGGGGGATCCACACTGCAGCATCTTGTTCCTGAAGGAACAGGGACCCACGCTGGAGCACTTTGTGAGGAGCTGCAGCTTGGGGAAGGACTCATGCTGAAGAAGTCCATGGAGGACTGTCTCCCCTGGGAGGAAACCCATGCTGGAGCAGGGGAAGAAGGTGAGGAGTCCTTCTGCTAAGGAGGAAGGAGCAGCAGAGTCAATGTGTGATGAACTGACCACAGCCACATTAACAGCCCACTCATCCTGCCTGGGGTAGAGAATTTGGGACTGAAGTTAAGTTGAGGAAGTTGGGAGGGGTGGGGAAAAGGTGATTAAAGATGTTTTCATTTTCTCATTATCTTACTCTGATTTGGTTGGTTATGACTTAAATTTTTTCATAAACAAAAAGCTTTGGTTTTATTTATAGAGTTATGCTGTAAAGGTACCTAGGAAGGATGAATTTCATAAATTCTATGCATTTCTTAAGTTAGTAAATACCTTGAATAGTTAAAATGACCCTTAGCACTACTTTTGTAGATACATAGCTTGCTAGAATATTAGGTGATGGGAAATTAAAAATGCTAATAACTTTTGGCATTTTTAACAGCATATGAATTAGCAAAGAAAATGGACTGAGATTGCTATTTATTATGAAACTTAATGATCTTTATGAGCTTTCACCTCAAATAGCCACTCATGTACATCACATAAATGTACACTTACTGTGATGGTAATTAATCAATCACCATCCCTTGTCCACCCAGAATTTTTCTTGCTGAAAATTTCAAAGCCTTGGCAAATTGTTCAAAAGGAATGAAGAGAGGAGAATAAGATACTACTATAAACCAGGTCTAATCCTATTACATGCTGCTGACTGCCTTACTGACATATGCTCAACTTACCTTATTATTAGTCATAACTGTTTGTTTTGCAAAGCTGCTTATAAGAAAATTCTACTTATTTGTAAGTATTTTCCTTAAAGTATGAGGAAGGACCTGTTTTGCAAAGCTGCTTATAAGAAAATTCTACTTATTTGTAAGTATTTTCCTTAAAGTATGAGGAAGGACCTGTTTTGCAAAGCTGCTTATAAGAAAATTCTACTTATTTGTAAGTATTTTCCTTAAAGTATGAGGAAGGACCAGTTGTCAATCTACCAAAATTCCCACCACGGCAAACTGCGAGAAAGGAAGCAATTCCTTATACATATGCAGCTCCAGCTGTAGGAATGCATCTACACTCTGCAAACCTGGGGCCTGGATATTGTAAAAGCGATGCTTCCACAAGACACTCCAGGACCTACACCACAGAGAAGAACAGAAGAAAAAGGGCCACCAGGATGCTGCAGGACCTATAGGGTGGTGACTTTATTTCTACTTATGTCTCTTTCTCTTCACCACTCACTCCTCCCTGTACCTCACATTTACTGTTAAATAAAATCTGCACTCTTGACCTTGGCATAGGGTCTTGTTTGCACCTTCATTTGGACAAGGCATCTTTTAAAACTTGAATCCTAGCAACGGCCCAGCAAAATATTACCACTATATATTCATTTGAAGGAATGTCAGAAAAATATGAGAACTTACAGTATGAAGAAAACAAAACTAGCAAAAAAAAGCCCCTCAAAACTTTTCTCTAAAAATGCTGAGCACATTTCCTAAGGCTCTGCTACTAGATGATGCTATTATATTTCTTCTTGTTATTCCCCTTTACATCTGCTCTTGGTTTCCCCACAGCAGAAAGTAACCAAATAGAAGCAATATCAGCCTGAAGTTAGCTCCTTCCAAAGAAACAGAAAACAGGATAAAGACGCAGCAGGAGATAATAAACCTGTAAATCCACAAAAAAAAAAAAAATCATGAAAGAACAGAGGAAAAAATAAAACAAAACAATACAAAAAAAAAAAAGTGAAAGGAAACATTAGGCCTTAAAGAAAAGGAACACTGAGGGAACCAACACAGAAAGACCCAGGTCCTAACGGACTCCATATACAAGATGGAGCTTCATTTGGGGGAAGTATGGACTTACCAGGTTTCCCATGAGGTATTAAATAACCATGTGTTAGTTACTAGCTTGGCATTTGTTATTAACAAACTGTTTGGTTTATCACTGCAGCTGATAGTGTGAAAGAACAGAAAACTTATTAAAATCTCTGCACATTGTGGTAAAACAAGGGATACTGCACTACTGATCTAATATATTTGGCATGGGAGGACTGACAAAACACGAAATCTTTAAAAATTTTTGAAAAAATTATATTTGAGAGAACAACCAAGAACTTTTTCTTTCTCTTTTAATGCTCACTTAAGATTCAGCATAAAGCAACTGGAATCCTGGTGACTGCATGACCCTAGAGCATTCTGAAAAAACAACCTCAGAAGAATTTTAAGATGTTTGAAACTGCAGCATTATCAGTCAGAATGCAGATAATGGTCTTCTGATTGCCCAAATCAATTTTCCTCACTAGCAGCAATTACAACTGCTATAGCAGACTATGTACAATACTGCAAGTAACACATTCCAAGAATATAAACAGGGAGGGATGCTGAGAAAACTGAACTGCTTAATTTAAAACTAAATACCACCGTGTGCTGCATGAAGATGTCATCAAAACACATCTGAAAGATTACCCCTGCTCATTAGCCAGTTAAATCATTCTGAAGTTCACATCTGAGATATGGAGCAAAGCAGAACTCCTGCATCTGAAGTCTATAATCTAAGAAAGTTTCAAACACATAAGGAAAGCTGCAAAGCTGCTCAGAGTACTACTGGAACAAACCAAGGTGAAAAATAAATAAGTTTGAACTATCTCATACAGCTTACTTGTGAAATGCAATCATCTGCACAATATTTGTATGGATAGAACTGAGGAATGTGAATACACCTGGCTTTTCACAACAGAACAGCAAAAGACCTCTCAACCCAGAGAAAATACCCATTTCCCAAATAAATGCTTTGAGCGAAACTTGCTGTAAGCCTAAAGTCAGTATGTCTGTCTTGGCTGGAGTTTCCCACTTCTTCAGGATTATGAGCAGAGATGGAAAAGAGGGTGAAGATCTCCAGAAGTTCAGTTCCAGGCAATTTTTCTGTACTGTGTTGATTATGGCATCAAAGAACTGTGGTCAGACAAAGGCAAGAAGAACTCCACACTAATAAACAACAATTTGCTGTTCCAAACATGTATGGAACACAGCGAATGAGCTTGGAGTAACAGCTTTAAATTTTGTGCTTTAGAGGGAGAGAAATTTCAAATACTGATTACTAAACACTGTTAAGGAGTAACACAGAGCAGATAAAAAAAAATGAAGTATCCTTAAAATTAATTTCATATCACGGTCTATTTACTAAGATGAAAATACTCTAAGAAAGGTTTATAATATTTTTGAACAGCTTTATTTTTTTTTCTTCTTTTCATACTGGTGGATCTGCTGCTCCAGCATTGTCTATTGCCTCTTACTCCTTGGCCAGGGTCAGGAAGGACCAAAGCAATCTTCCATGTTCTGCTCAGAGACTACTCAGGAGGGTGTTAAATCAGTGAAGAAACCGAACAAGAAATTTTGGAAGCCAGGAAGAAATTATGCTGCTGTGCAAGACTAGCAGAGCTCTTGAATTGCTTTCCCTGTGCTCCAGCACACTGCCATATGCAGGCAGAAACCTGATGGTGGAATTCTGCTCCTAATATCCACGGAGACAGACAAAGAGTAAGGATGAAGCTGAGTAATATATACCTCCTTTGCTCTAAAGAGGGGTGGATCTGAAGCAGCAACTCCTGTAAACACTCACTTCTATGCTGAGCCCCATCCAAGACTTTTGGTGGAATGCTGCCAAAGCATTCCTCAATTCTACAACTACCAAGAGTTATTTTTAACTATATGATATAAATAAATTATTACAAGCCCACGTAAGTAATGAGGAAGAATCAAATGCATACTTACTCAGTTTGCAATTTTCATAGCCTAAACTTTCAGTGAGAAAACCTAGGTGTTTCTTTTGACCCCCAATATGCCAATTTTATTGTTAGTTCTGAAATAAAATTATGTAGTCTTTAACACACTGAAAGCTCTGAAGCTCAGCAGTTGTCTCCAAAACCTCTGTTCCAATCAAACTTACACAGACATTCTAAAAACAAAAGTTTTTCCTGAAGAACAACAAGTTAAACAGTGTAATATTCCTGGAGTCTACTGGAGAAATTTCATCAGCCCATGATGAAATTTGGAATATTTAAACAATCATTTAGAAATGTAAACAATCATTTACAATCAAGTAAAGCAATAACTTTTGTGCTTCCTAATATGCCAGAAATCCTGTTACTCTGCTCTTAATAATCCATATTACATATTTCATCAAAAGCTCCTGTAGAACTACAAGCCATCAATATTAGAAACAGACCCCAAAAGTTTGAAGAAAAAAGAAGCTTTCTCTCTTCACCATAAATGTGCAAGTGAACACAAAACAAGGAATAAGGTATAGGCATATCAGACATGGTAATGAAGATGCACTTGTGCTGATCCACTGTGCATCTACCTCATCCCAGCAGACCTTCAGGGAATAAGAGAGTATTTGCAAGGTCCACAGTCCCACTACTATGCTTCTTTGTCAGGTCTCTGAAGAAATCACCTCAGTGACAGGTGAAACATCAGCTTTTGGCATGTAGAGCAGCAAACTCTCATCACATACCACATATGATTAAAAATAACAGTTGTGAACATTATACTCACTAAATTCAATTGCTAAAGCCACGGTCAATTAGTTTAAAGGGTCAATCTGATAAATATATTTGAAATCCTCAGTGTGCTGTTGGATGCAATGAAAAGGTTTACAGAAGCATGGGTAATTGGCAAATCAATCCATTAAGAATCCTTACTTGCAACTTGTTCAGGGTCACAACGCCAAAATATTGTTTTAATCATAGAAATTCTTAATTGCAGAAAATACAGGATGTATTACAGCTTTACTTAAAGCAATTCAATTGTTATATTAACTGGAATCAATGTTATTTTCAAAAATCAAAATACAGATAACATTTCCATACATGCATATAATACCCATTTTCAAATATTAACTTAAAATACTGTACAATACCTTGATTTTAAAAAATGTTTTAGCATACAAGTAGTTCAGAATCAGGAATTCATTTTCCATCTCACAAACTGACTTTGAAATGAAATTACTAAATTAGTATGTTAAGATGTTGATATCCTAAATTACTCTGTTTATTCACAGAGCTTCTCAAGGAAATTCAAAACACTCAAACCTTGCACTGAATAAATAAAGCTACTTACACCTTTTGGATATGCCTCCAGAATGCAAGAGTTAACAGACCAGAACTACTTTTAAACTAAGGTTAATGAGATTGTTTTAAGAAACAAGTTTGACTTATTAAAAGGGATCAAATTGGCATGGTAATTTCAGTTGTAAGCTCCTTACATTAAACAAACTCCAAGTTTTTGTAGAAGAACATGACCTCATTTTTTGCTGTTCTTTGGGGGTTTAGAATCAAAAATAATTATTGATGAAGAATAATTTTAAGTCCTGAGGCTACATCAGCACAACATAACTCTGTCTTCCTTAAGAACAACAAATCCCCACAATCTCATCCTCCAGACCATCAGAATGAGCTGGCCCTGAAACCCTGCTCCAGCTCCAGAAATCACAGGGAGCTAAAGCAATGCCTCCTCAATACCACCCACGAGAGGGTCATGAGAAGTGACCAGAACAATGCATCCTCACCTTAACCACCATGAGACGTTCACAAGAAAACTCAGTGACCCCAGTGATCAAGGGGATTTGGGAACCTGGATTAATAGGAGAGACAGACCAAATTCCTCCTTTACTCCTGTAAACCTCTTTACCACACTGAAATTACTATTCTCACTGAATCCAGTGTTTCCAGCCTAAGCACAAGCTGTGGGCTAGATCTCAAGAAAAGGGACATTCAGGGCAGAAGCAGAGGTGATATAAATACTGTAACTACAGGAATTATCCACAATGGATGAAGAATTTTCACAATATTCTGAAGTGTATATTTCAATCAGCCACACCTAGGGATTTGACTTCTCCCTTCCTGTTCAAATTTTCCTACATGGTGCAAAGACTTCTTGAGCTACATCTGGCAAGTCTATCTCAAATTCCATGAGGGGGGATGCTGGAGATTAAAACAAAATGGTGAGTTTAAGCATTTTTCTGGTTAAAATCTCAACAGAGTATGGTACAAGGCACAGAAAAGAGAATGCTATATTGAGCATTATAGCTTGCAGTGATGTGATATAGGCAGGTATCAATGCCTAAATCTGCCATATCTTTGAGCCCCTTGTTCACCCATGTGTATTTTGTAGATGTGCTCACAGCTGAAAGATTCATTGTGACTCTCAAAAATCTTAAATTATATATATAGTATATATTTTATAGAATCTCATAAGCAAGCATTAATTCCTGTGGGAACAGCAAAATATATTAG